ATGATTAGCTAGCTAGCGAAATGCATACTCCAATGATTATGTATCCATGTGAATGAGCTTTAATCTCTTTGTTATGACACCTTGTTTATATATACCGTACCTATATTTCTCAAAAAATTTTGAACATACTGAATTTTTATGTCCAATATGTTTGATTAGATCACCATGTTCCGAACAAATGCTTCTTGCATCTTATTTTCAATGTTGAAATTTATTCATCCAGGAGCGACATCTATTCCAATCAACGTTAATACAATGCCAGATTACATTCAGATTTATCGTCCAAAAAATATTATCTTACATCCACAGAGGTCTATGAAGGAGAATGACGTTGCATTGGTAAAAAATGTTAATATTCAATTTGAATATATTTTGCTGGTTTAACATAACGTAACTAATTTGGTGGGAGTTTGTTTGGTATGGGGTTGGAAACCATTTATATACCTTGAATCGCCTACTGTATATGCAATGTAAATAGAACTTACTTCATGTTATTCTTCAAGTAGTGTTCAATCTTTGTGACCTTTTAAAAGGCGAAACATTTTACATACAAACTCAATAGTGGATAGGATTTACATATTTATCCCGGGGGAGAGGAAAAGCCGTTAGGACAGCTTAACCATATGGCGAACCACGTGCTCTCGTCTAGTTAACATTCCATGTCGCCTATAGAATTATTTGTTTTCGGAAGAATATACTTGATGGTGGAAAAAAACCTAACCTTCCAGCAGTTATGTGAACCACCCTACGGAGGCGAAAAGTCCAGCAATCCTCTCACACATAATTAGCCCCGCATGGGATTCCCAAGCTCCGAACGATGATTCAAGCCATGGCTCATTTGTATGAACACTTGCCGAAGCATAGTATCTAAAAAGCGCAAATACAAAACATTAGGAGAATATATTTGCTGAGGTTTGCACAATGTAGTTTTTTCCTGTTTATTTCAATCATACTGTAATTAATTTTAGATTGAAATTGGCGATCGAATAATGGTTGAAAAAAATTCATGGGTTGTTGATCCTGATAAACCAAGTGGAGAAATAGAATTCAATGATTATATTCGACCAGTATGCCTCCCATGCATCAATGATGGCGTCAAAAAATCTAAGTCGAAAAGCTGCAGGGCGCATGGTAATCTTTGGGAATAATAATTATTATTCAATTGTTAATATAGAAGTAAAATCGTAATTTACTAACAATGTCATAACTTGTGCTCAGTTAGTTTTTTTTAGTTTTCATATGAGACTTCCATTTTTTTTTTAAATAAATATGATGAATTGAATTCATAGTGTCCTAGTTTACATATATCTTCTAACTAGAAAATTTCATACCATCGTAAAAATTTAAGGCTATTTTTCCAATTGACATATTCCATTGACAGATCAGAATAGATCAAACGCTACTCTAATAAACCCTCCTGGAACAAATATTGGATATAATTAAAAAAGAAAATATATAAAATCAACTAACATTCTCAATGCTCATGTCATTTTATTTGATGAGCGGATATTATATTTAAGGGTTTCTGTTGTTCCCCTCATTTTATTAATCTTCAAGTATGTTTTTCATGTCAATAAATTATCCTCTTTTGCATCACAGGAGATCATCTGGCTCTCAATGTTCCGTCAAATGTGCCGATATATTTTGCAGGATTAAACATTGATTATTCGCTATTTGATTAAGATCTTAAAATAGCTTATAGTCTAACTTAAATAGTAAACATCACTGACGATTTTACAATCTACATCAGCGATATGTCGACACTCCAAAACTGACATGGCTGCTTTCAACTACAATCGAGAAAGCCGAAGCCGAAACATCGTCTAAGCAGAAGCCTACCAGACCCTGGCCTCTCCCCAATAGGTCCTGTTTTCATATCAACAGGAGGGACCTAATTTTCAAAAAAATCTACAGGAAGCATCCAGAGACAAATAGAAGCCAACTACCATCTCTAATCACCAAGTACCCTTGCTGAGAACTTCATACAGCAAATCTTACTTCGGATACATACCCCTAAGCCCAGGCCTTAAAGAATGTATGGAAGACCAAATCCAATCTTTAGGGAAATAAAAGAGGACATTGCCTTAATCAAGGAAACCCAGAATTTTCAGTCGGATATGTTCGATAAATTATCCGCAAAGCAAGAAATTTATGGAAGGAAAAATTATAAACTGTGACAAAAGAATAAGAGAATTAGAAGATTTGTTAATGATCTTGAGGAAGATCTGTATTATGCCACAGAAAAATGGAGGAAACAGGAAAGGCGCTCTCGACTCGACATCTAGAGTTTCATGGTCTTGCCCCAACTGTGAATGAGGACACAGATAAACTAATAATGGAAATAGGAAAACTGATTCATGTAGATATCAAACCATCTGATATCTCAGTTACACATCGCAGTCCCACTCACAAACTCTAATATCCACAAGCCAATAATCGCCAGTTCACTAACAGAAAAATCCGAAGCAAAATTCTTAAAATCGCAACCTCATAAGAACTGCTTCCAACAAATCACCTTTAACCAATTTATCAAAAAGCTTTTATTGTGGAAAACTTAACAGAAAAAATAAAAACCTGTTCTATCAAGGCTAAGATCCTGAAAAAACGAATGTGGGTACGCCTTTCTTTGGACTTCCAATGGGCGAGTGTTTGGTGAAAAAAACAAGGATACCAATACCCCTGTCGATATCAGATGAAGAAGATCTGCAAAAAATCAGATAAGTTGATTAATTGTAATTCCCACTGTAATTTTCTATCTATTGTTATTTTAAATCTAACTCTATTGTTGCTAATTAGGCCCCACTTTCAATGTAAGCCCTTATTAACAAGTTTCTGTGTATACTTTTTATTCACTTATTCAATACGATTCAATGTCTAACTGTCCATGATGTACCTATATATTGTTCCAAAATGAACTGGGAATCTAACAATTTACATCATCATGTTAGTACAACTCACTGTCGATACATCGAGTTAAACGAGATCAGTGAGGTCTCATCTAGATTTCTACCATCTGACCTTATTTTGGTACACTTCAACATCAGATCTCTACCAAATACATTGACCGCTTAGTCGAATTGACATCAAATTTTCAATATCTCCCACAATATTATTGGCGCTAAGCGAGACCAAGAATTAAAGCTGGGGGAATGGCCGAAAATGTCGACATCCCAGGATATAACTTTTTATATGTTCCTACTCCTACCCAAGCTGGTGGTGTAGGTTTTTATCTTAAAAGCAACTTAGATTACCAGGTGATCCAAGAATTTGATTTAGGATTTCCAAATTGTGAGGACTTGTGGGTAGAGATCAAACTTAACTCGAACAACCAGAGATTTGTAGTTGGTGTCATTTACAAACACCCCAAATGTAATATACCCTCATTTTCTGGAGCAATGGCTCTTGTTTTCGAGAAGCTGGCAATGGCGAAAAAGAGGTTTGTAATATTAGGTGACTTCAACATCAACCTACTGACACCCATGACAATCCCACTACTAACAATATTTGGACATGCTTATGTCCTATTTCGTATTGCCTGTGATTACAAAACCAACTAGAGTCACATCATCCACCCACACCCTCATAGATCATATCTATACAAATAACATAGGTAATGTCTCTTCATCATTTATTTTGCTTAGTGATATTACTGACCATTTTCCTGTAATTTGTACAATCTCTGGTTTAAATGTTTCTTCCAAGACAAAACTCGGATGAAGCGAGATTTGACAAAATTTGTAGCGACTCTTTCAGATCTGAGGTCGAGTCGATGTGTAACAAACTACATTGATACCGCTCTCTGTAAAGCAAATTTTAATTTATCTTTCGATTCTTTCCTTGGCCAATTGAAATGGTTAATCAACAAACATGCCCCACTTCGACTTGCATCACGTCGAGAAAATAATTGTACTTGAAGCCTTGGATAACTAGGGGGATTCGCAAGTCCATCAAACACAAAAATCAAATGTTCAAAAAAAAATTTTTAAAAGGAAATTTACTTGAGCGTCTTTACTTTAAAAAATATAAAAATATCTTAAATCATTTGCAGAGAAAATCAAAACAATTGTATTACCATAAAATCCTCAAAAACAACCGAGGTGATGTAAAACACACTTGGAAGACTATAAATGAAATTATCAAAATCAAGTCCAGAGATGATACCCCCATCTCAGAATTGAAACTCGATAATGGTACTACAGTCAGAGACCCTGTCATGGTGGCTAGCGAATCAATAAATTTTTCTCAACAGTGGGGAAGAAGCTTGCAGATAAACTACCTCATAGCTCAAAATCATTCGCGTACTTCTTGGGTGCTCCTCTGCAAAGCTCTTTCTTCTTGAAGTAACTACTCCTGCAGAGGTCCTCCAAATGATATTGAATCTAAAAAAAGGAAAGCAATTGGGCCTGATGGTATTCCATCACACTTCCTAAAAATAGTTTGCTGATATCCTATCACCAGTGCTCAGTCATTTTTTCAATTTTTCATTCAAATTGGGTATTTCCCTTCCTCTTTAAAAGTTGCTAGAGTGAAACCAATTTTCAAAAAGTGGTAAGCATAATGACCCTTCAAATTACCGACCAATCTCCATCCTCTCCTCTATTGCCATTATCTTAGAAAAACTTTACATTGCAGATTGATCAATTTTTGTACAAAATTCAACCTGATCAATAAACGTCAATTTGGATTTCAAACCAATAATTCCACCAGTCATGCTATTTTAGATCTAACATCATTTATTTATGATAAAATTGACAAAGGCGAGTTTGTCTGCTGTATTTTTCTCGATTTAAAAAAAGCCTTTGACACTGTCAACCATAGTATTCTTTCCCAAAAACTGAGACACTATGGCTTTCGAGGTGCTACAGGCAAACTATTAAGCAATTACCTTTCGGGTCGATTCCAATATGTGGAGGTGGATTCTCAGCAGTCTCCGATGTTGCCCATTCATCACGGAATTCCTCAAGGTAGTGTGTTAGGTCCTCTTGGTTTCTTAATTTACCATAAATGATCTGTCTAACTGCTCCAATTTCTTGAGCAAATTGTTTGCTGATGATGCTTGCCTGCTCTACAGTGCAAAAGATCCGAGTATTCTCCAAGACAAGGTGAACACTGAAATGAATAAAGTATATGATTGGATGACTTCCAATAAACTTACTGTGAATATACAAAATCCAAAGTCATGTTATTCGGCCACAAATCTCTAGCCAGACATGCGAACATCTCAATCAAAATTACAGGTCTCCCTCTTGAAATTGTTCACTCTTATAAATACCTTGGCCTCACTATTGACAATCAATTTAAAATGGAACTTTCATACCAATGAATTGCATAAGAAATTGTCAAGATCAGTCGGGATCCTAGGGAAGTTAAGGCATTATGTAAACGACTCGACTCTGCGAACAGTATATTTGGCTCTTTTTCAATGTCATATCCAATATGCCTTAGCTGCATGGGGTTCCGCTACCAAAACAAACTTGAATAAATTAGAGATTTTACAAAATAGGGCTGTTAGAATTCTCTGTAGGGCATCTATTCGTTCTAACCTGAATATCCTATACCACAAGACCAGGGTTCTAAAATTGTCCGACATCTATAAACTAGAGATTTCTAAACTTATGCACCAATTTAACAACAACCAATTGCCCCCAGCTTTTGCTGACTATTTCGTCATGCTTAGTAACGTGCATGAGCATAATACACGCTCATCGACTAAATCCGATTTATTTGTCCCTCGATTTTCATCAAGCAAATGCCAAAACTCCTTGAAATACAGGGGAGTTGTAATTTGGAATAGCATAGGTCAAAGCCTTCGTCATTCATCTTATGACACCTTTAAATTTAAATACAAAAAATTCATGCTTTCCCTTTACCATTCTGCTGCCTTTTCATCCGATTAAAGTGGATCCAGAACTTTCTTCGCCATTGCCAGCTCCACTGTCGACTTGATCCAGTGATCCAGAGTACCTGAAATATATAATTTTGGAATTTATCGTGTAATCAAACAAATATTTTTACCTATGTATGTTACATGGACCCAGCCTTACAAAAAGTATTTACTGTATTTTTAATTTCACCCAATATATCAAAGGGCGAGCTTTTGCTAAAATATTGACCTAAATCAAAAATTTTAGGTATCATTCTCTTATTAAATGACAATTGTCCTGCTATATGCATTTACAATCAGTCATGCTTCCAATGCAAAGCTCATATTGTCTTTTCTGACCATGACCTCTTTATTACCTATTTACTACTATGAATTGTTTCTTTTTACATATTTGATTCATCTCTGATTGACCCACTGTGTGAATGAGAGGATGTAAGAAGAAACCATGCATAGTTCATGCACTGTGATGTCATGTAAAATAGTCAGTTATATATTGGTAATATTTGAGCCTGATCTAAGTTACTAAGATCTTGGTCACTGGCACCCTTAATAACATCATTTTAATGTTAAACCATATTCGATTGTAAATTTATTTTTTTTTTTATCTTTGTACATTTGGCATCGTTATGTCATAAACTGACTGACATTAGATTTTTATCAATCTACCTACCTTTGCTTTTTCCATGTTCTGTATGAAGTGGTTAGTTCCACATGAAATTTTATCCTACCTTGATCTTGTAGAATACCATTTATTCATTGATCATGTGCCTTCCAGTTACACACTGAAGTTCAATTTTCTTACCATAAAAGGTTAAATTATTTATGACTACCGGTACTACAGTTGCATGCATACCATACTACTGGTAGGCTTCCTGTTCGTGAAACTTCATTTTTACCATTGATACCTAAACAACTGTAGCCCTGCACCATACAATGTTCTACATACGACCACAGTCACTTCACAATGGTACCATTGTTACTTTGCAGCTATCGTCATGGCTACTTAGATAATTGGTGCACGGAGTCGTTTCTTGTTTTGTTGTTGTTGAAACGCGAGATTACTGGGCATACCTGGTTGGAATGCCTTGACGTATTTATATTTATTTTCAAATTAACGTATATATGATACTGTATATACACAGTTCGACTTTTTTTTTGTTATTATTTCCTTGTTAGACTTGCTTATGGGTGCCGCTGCTCGATAACCAAATTTGGTTTCTCGCGGCTCCCCTCACCCTGAAATGCCTTTTTATTTATTTATTGCAATTTGTATATCAAGTGTGCATTTAGTATGGTGAGAAAATAAACTACTGATTACTGATTAATATGATAAATTTCAAACAAACTTCAAAAATGGAAAGCGATCCCACAAGTATTGTACGCCGTTCTGATAAATCGTATGTTTATTTGTTTACTTATATTTTATTACTTATTTAATATAACGAGTCGGCGACAAAATTTGAATTTTATGCATCGAATTGCAATTGCGAGTCGTTCTATATTCCTATCGCTTATATTTATTTCTCCTTTTATTGAAGTGTATGCACAATGCAAATAAATGATAAAATATCGAGCACTTTCACAACAATCTATCTTATGCTGTTTTAGATGCCAAGGATCGTCTTTAATTAAATCCACAAAAACCATATTGTGTGTTAGACCTTCACGTGCTGATGCACCATGTCGAGGAACCAGTGGTGATGGTTTGGTGAAAAAGGTAAATGTTTCTATGTTCAATGTTTCAGGAATATTTACTATTTGTGTTTATTTCTTTGTCAAGCTTAGGATCTCAAATCTCTTTCCTGTGCTCCAGGCCGCAAGTCGTGTAATTTATGTCAAATCACAATATTCATAGAACTATGCAGTTTTCAATACTTTTCTATCATATAGCGCTTATATGTATATATATAAGTATTGGTAACCATAAAATTATGATAAAATTGCTTTGACACATAATTTGACACATCTTTTATTGTGTCATCTTCAAAACACTACATTTACTAACATAGGTCCAATACAGGTATTTAGCAATCATTTGCCAGTCACAGCACTTTCTTTGTTCATCTTGTTAGATAAGTTCCCCGAGTTCATGAATCCAAACAAGCATCTAAAAGAATAAATTGCCAATCATTGTGGTTTTTCTTTTCCAATTAATTTCTTATTGGATTGGATTTGATAATTATTTGTATTGATTGTACTAACAACAAACTGCCGTAGTAAGTAAAATTGCAAATTTTTTTTATCCCTGTGTGTTACATTGTCTTTGGTAGGCTTGGATATTCATCAAACAAAATAATGAATAATGAAGAGGATTTTTCAGGAATCCCGGAATAGATGTTCTGAAACAGAACAATTGTTCCCTATTCTCGGATTTTAGTGGTGGGGGTGGCGGTTGCGTGTACCAACCTGTGATAGGAGTGAAAATTTGTCTGTGTATAATTATTTTACACTGATTTCAAACTGTAAACCAACACATGTATTCAACAAGCACTGTTTTATGGAATTTTTTTAAACACGCATGAAAATGCCAATTGCCGAGCGCCCTGTCAATTTACGCAGAGCGTCTCAAGAGTGTAGTTTCCTCTCCTGTCAACACTGGTCCCAGTTGTATGAATCTCACTCCATATGAATAGCCTAACCTTCTGCCAAAGTATCTATCCTAATACTTAATATTGCATGAATTCCACCTTAAATGCTTATTTCAACATTATGCTCTAAAATATGGCAATCTGGTGGGTTGTGTGGCTCTTCTATATAATAATGAGTGCTCAATATTGCTTTTGGCAATAAGAGTTCTAGGAAAATATTGTACAATAATTTCTTGATCCTCAAAATTTTAGATAATATAGCCTTGCCAACATTTCATGTATTTTCGTATTTATACCGTTTTTTTATTTAAAAATTAACTCGGCTATGACCATATGCATTGACTCTAAGCCTGTGGGGCATGCCGTTTATTAAAGACACCGGTTTACCCCTTTGAGGCTGTCATGTTTTCTCTATCTAACTAAACTTCTATTTAGATTGTTGGCGACGATGGAAACGAACGATGGGTACAACTTGGATTTTCTGGTTTTGGACCACCTTGTGGATCAACAGATCAAATGGGAAATTTTAATGTTAATTTTTTCATGGATGTATCGACATTTAACAGTTGGATTATGAGCCACGTTGGGAAAGGTATGTGAATATTTGAGCTTGGAAAGAATATTCGTTTCACTGTTACCAGATAAGATAATCTGGTAACCAACTGAGTATATATTTTTAAATTTGTTGTGTGATTAAAAAAATTGATTTTAAAAGCAGCAATTTTTCGATTATGTGATCATTTTCTGTTCTGAAGTGTAAATAACTGTCTGGTCTGAATTCAAATTCATCGCTATCACTTCAAGGAAGTCTTCGAACAAACTTCAATTTAATCCCAATACTTTTTTTTTATCTAGATATGAAATGGTAAAAGATTTCTGACGTCTGTGATTATGCGATTTTTAAAGAAGACCATGCTTTCAAGAAAACTGGCATTATATTATATCATAATGAATCTATCTATATAAGGGTGTATTTCCGACTTAATAAATAAACATAATATACGAAAGGATCTGTGTGTCATCAACACCGCGATTTTGAACCAACCATGAATTGTTATGTAGAAGGCGTTATCATGTGAAAAGTATGGCAGTCAGTCCAAGGTCCACACCCATAGAAGTCCACTTTATCATGTAGAAAAGAGAATTTCATATAGCACAGAAAAAGGCGCGCGTATGATAGGGCATACATATCGGGACCCTATTTGGGTTGGTTATGGGAATGTCTTGCCCAGTAATCGTTTCAGGCATATATATGCGCAAACGCGGGAAGGCGGTTACGTGATCTATGGAGAAAATGGATACCACTTCACCTCTAATTAATTTCGTGAATCACCTCATCGGATCACTAAAGCTGAGGATAGTTTTTTGAGATGAGAGATAAAGAAAGAATTTTTTTTTTTTGCACATAACACACATTTTTTGGTACATAAACTAATTCAAAAACATTATTATTAATTATTATTTTTTTTAAAAGCAAAATGTCCCGAGTATCGACCGAGTGGTAACGAAAATACAACAGTGCGATCACGGGAGTTAGTGTAACAATCGCTTAGACACGAAAATATATTTTGTTTTCATTGGTACTATGGGGAAGAGATTGGCCTGGTATCAACTTTTTCGCATAAAATGTTGCACCAAATATAATAAAGGAAATAAATTGGGTCAACGACCTTGTTTCAGACAAATAACATGCACTAATAACGACAAGTGATGAGAAGTAATAAAATATGTATGTATGTTTATTCGTCTCGTAAAAGCAAAATAAAAGAATTGCGTAGTAATTATAAATACTGAAGACAGGATGTATGCACAAGACCATACTGGCCTAAAACGCGAATGTGCGGAATACACCCTTTTTTGATATGTATAAATTATAATAAGGTAAATCAAATAAGTATAATATGGTCCTTTATACAGACAGTTGTGCAAGGAGGGTGGGTGGGTGTGGTAACAGAGGTAAGGGTGGAGTATACAAAACTGTTTGTAAAAAGGAGTTTGTATAACAAAACAACATTTATATCCTAAATAAAGACACAACACAACATGAAACACACTGGGTGTAAATGTAGTAATAAGATTAGGAATTTGGATGCAAATACAATATCATTGAGTGATGATACCACATACTATAAAACGGGGGAATGGCTGGTGGTTATGGCTGTTCTGGAAAAATTTGGGAAAAAAAATTTGCCAATTTTGGATTCTGCCAAAAGCGATGAAGTTTCAAAAAAAAAATTTTTTAATAAGAAGCATTTCCACAAAACTTATTATGATTGCATTTCAGCCAGAAGATTAGGAAGGTATAAAGTACAGTGTGCTAGGGAATAATAAGTTATAGAGAGAAGCCATTTTACCATGCCATGGATTTTCAAAGGAAATTAAAAAAAATAGAATAATATGATATCCTGGGATGAACGGAGGAAAAGTTTGATTTGGTGATAGATAACAGTGGGAAAAAAATTGAACAGCATGCTACTCAGACAAAAACCATTGTCCCTACTATTTGCTGCTTTAAAGTTCTATTGTATTTTACAGTGGCGGCGCGTGGTCATTTTGACAACCGGGGCAAGCTACTGCGGGACCAAGTCACCCCTATCTACGGCGACAGGATGAGCGCTGTAAGTTCTCCCATCATTTTATGAGTATAAAAACCATTCTATCGGTAACAACCAATCGGCAAAAGCGACAATTTTTAACGATAAGAAAGTGTCTTTAAAACCGGTCCAAGTCAAGGGATTAATAAATATAGACATAGTTTATTTTGAAACCTCTTTCAAAAGGAAAGGCAATATTTACCCAGATAAATACAATGACATATTAACAGAAACTTCGGGAAGCAGACAAAACCTAAAATAAGGTTTAAAACGTTACTATGAAGAAAGGAAAGGTAATGCAAAGATAAGGACATGCGTCGCTCACTCATAGATATATATGCTGCTAGACTTCTACTGCTTGAACATATATGCAACACGCCGCGGTTTCTTGGAAGCAAAATGCTCTATAACGCGCTGATTAAAGTCATGCATCCCAGAAATAACGTCTCTGTGAATGGATAAAACAGCCAAGGAATTTAATCTATCTTGCTTCATTGTGTTTCTGAGATACGTTTTAATACGCTTCAGCGTGCTGAATGTTCGCTCTGCGTCGGCGTCGTCAAAATGATGTCCAGAAATTTTGCAGACGCCGCAAAGGTAGTTACTAGAGTGTTATCTATGAGGAACCCATAGAGCGCGCAAGTTGATGTGATGTTCAAAAAAGTTTGATTGGTGTATATACATCGCAATTCATTTTCCAATTTACCCACGTTTATCATGGGGTAAAATTTGGAGACAGTAGCCAACAAATGGATGGGAAATTGACGTGCAAATTTTGAAATATTTTTGGGGTTCATCAAAGAGAACGTGGCAAGGTGTTCAGTGCGCAGACGATCGCCTATTTGATCCACCAGAATGTCACAGCATTCCTTTGCAGACAAAATCAAACGCTGCGTTGTTTGCCCGCGGCGTAAAGAAGCACTCCATGTGTCGTCGTATTTTATTGTTTCCCGGATACGAGATACAGACAGCATCGCAGAAGTCTGAAATACACGACTGCACAGACGCTCCATCCATTAGCCTTGACTGCAATGCGCCGTATAATACATCCACGTGATAGAATATTGTGGAGAAAAAAGCGAGAAAAAATGAAAACTCACTATCTTCTAGCAGACGCTTTAGACCTGCCGCCTCCCTCACAGAGCGTTCGTCCCAAACCGGAGAGCTCTGAATGCCATTGAAACACTCAATGAGCTCAGACCTAATTTCGGACACGCCCTGCACCACGCGTGATTGGAAGTTCCAACGTGTTGGTGCACAAGCTGGGAGACGGCGGCTACATATCTGGCGAAGGAGGTCAGAGCGCTTAGGCGAAACGGAAAAAAATGAAGAAAACCCCGAAACATTTGCAAAAAATATACGGACGAGAGGGGTATCAAGACACATATTTTTAATAACGAGGTTAAATTGGTGTGCATAACAATGTAAAAAATGCGCATGAAGAAAATCTTCTTTTATATAAACTTGAACACCATGTTTCGACCCACTCATGACTGCCGCGCCGTCATAAGTTTGAGCTATCAATTTTGACTTCGCGTTGTAAGGCTGTAACACTTCTTTCAGTACAGCCGATATCCCGCAAGCCGTGCGATCAACGATTGGTACAAAGCTGTGAAATCTCTCGGTAGGTTTACCATCTTTCACAAACCGAAAAATCACAGCCAGTTGGGAAACGCACGTGATGTCAGTTGTCTCGTCAGACCAATGACATTAAATAACATGATGCGCAACTTCGGCATTTTTGGCCGAAGATCGTATCCGATAGCACGCTCCAATGCACATACTTGACGAGACGAAAACGAGCGGATGTGTGCTGCTTTCGAGGCATAGCAGTGGCACAAATGGTGTTTCGTGCCTGCTTTGGACAGTTGTTGTCGATTTAATGATATTTTGGAAAATTGAAGGTAAAAAGAAATCGGAAAAAGGTAAGGTAAATACTATTGTTGTATATCACACCCGGGCATAGCACTGTTAAGTACATGTGGGAAAGCCAGCTTTTGTCAAATACTACGAAGTTTATCAAATCAGTACGGTACGTAGTTGCCCATTTGCCGAAATTGCATATTTACTTACCCCTTATGGTTTCAAATAGTTCATTGCACCTCCATTTAGATTTTTCTAATCAGTGTAGAAATATATATTCATTGCTGTAACATACTATTGCTCATTCACTTTTGTTTGCGTATTGAATCAAAGGGTTAACAAGTTCACCTAACATTTCACTCATACCGGTCTATATTGTATAGTCTGATCTCTCAGGTATTTGCCACGAGTGCTTGTAATTTTCTGACTAAACCCTTTTATTAGTTGATTTATATACCAAATTCAGTAAAACATTTTTTACATTAAACATGAGATTTATTAGCTTTTCCATTCTAAATCATATAGATTGCTTTATTTATTCTTAACGAAAATTAATAAATCTCCTCTCTTTCTTCAGATGTGAAAGTTGTGGACAAACCTGTCTAAACATTGTGAGACTCCTGCAGCACAAGAGGCAATAGCAAAAATAGTAAGTATATCAATTTCAAAAAATTAAGCCGACATAAAGCAAAACTTTCAACTATTCGTCTAACCTCAATTTCCTATTATTTATTCACAGGATAACTGTAGCAGAAGGGGAGATATCAGAAGTCTGGCGACATATCAGTGACAGTGTGATTCCAAGAAATATAATTAGAATACTCCATAGATGTTTGCAATAGAAGAACAACCTATGGAGGCATGCAAAGGCATTTGACCCTCCGGTAGAGTTGTGTATGGCCCCTACATCCTGCAAGGCTTGAAGAAAATGACTAAAAATTCCAATGCGTAAGATTGCATAAGCGGTCTTATTTGTGAAAAGGCATTAAACATGCCAGACATACTTGAAACAGCTTTGAAAAATAAAGATTACGGATCACTCACCTGCGTTATATTTGGTTCATCAACTTTTGGTAGTACTATAGAAGAAATTCAGGAAAGGGTATAATCATGATTCATGATAAAAAACTGTTATATATTTTGGATAACTTCAATCTAGACCGGGGATGTCAAACTCGCGGCCCCAGAATACTTACAGTGCGGCCCTCGAACGCTTAACAATAATTGTAATAGTATTTTGGAAGTTTTTTTATCTAAATGTAACAGATTTTTTAAACTTTTCAAAGTGGAATTGAATATTCACACAGAAAACAATTTACTGAGAGTAGTTTTGAAAAATTAATTTTTTTTTGTTTACATTTTGACCCATTTAAGAATACACATCAAGCTAGCAAAAGAGTACTTGAATAAAACACTTGAGTGACCAAATTAAACGCAAAGTACATGAAGAAGATGGCATTTTCGAAAAAAATGGGAGTTGCAATATTTCTGCATTTCACAAAATTCTCTGAAGCACATTGTTCAATTTGTCATTCATTAAACCAATTCAGCCA